TATGCTTCTTATAGGTTTGAGTGGCCGTTTCTTTGTCACCACTCTTCCTGCATTTTTTCAGTAAGTAGAAATAATTTTTCTGGTCTTGCAAAGATTATAAATCAGTCAGTATATACCAGGTATTCTGAGGAGTTTTTCATGACTACCACTAGTTTAGCAGAGTGTTTGAGGAGAGGAAAGCCTGCATTGCTCTGAATGATAGATGTCAAAATATCAGGTTGCCTGAAGTGCTGTGGAGAAAGAGAACCTAATATCAGATGGGGAAAAAGGTATAAGTAGGGGTCAGAGAAGATTTTCTGACCCCTATATATAGATATAAAGGTGTGATAACTCTTAATGTGTACGTAGATATGAATTAAACCAACAAGGTGAAGAAAATCTTCCCAGATAAAGGAAATAGCATAAATAAGCTCAGAGAAATGAGACACCTTCTGAGAATTTTAACTGTTTCTGTATGGCTGGCCCACAGGTACAGTTGGATCATGCTGGGTGATGAGGCTAGAGAGATTCAGTAGCAGGGGAAAGAGAAAGGAAAAGATGGATTTCAGAGGTTCTTATAGATGAGATTATTGGGGTTTGGTGACTTATTATCCAAGGAAGGAACAGTCTGTGATGACTACCAACAGGTCATTTAAAACTATCATGTGATGTTTCTGGCCTACAAAATCAGAAGCCCTTAAAATAAAATGAGACCAGAATGGAGAATATAGTGTTAAGTGCTTATTTTGATTCCAAATGGAGAAGTTCAGGATCTAGAACTATGAAGAAAGATTAGGCTAGAAATACATGTTGGGGATTCCTTGGGCTTGAGTAATATCAATTGAAATATATGTAGGGAGAGCATATACAATGAGATGTGAAGCAGGTGAAGGCTAGAGCCTGGGGTTGACCAATAGGACATCTGCCAAGGAAGACAGTGATTGAGGAAACTGAGAAGGGATGGTCAGAGTAGTAGGAATTCAGGCTAAATGAACTGGGAGTGTGGCTCATTAATGGAGCAATTACCTAGCATGCACAGGGCCATAGGTTGAATCCCCAGCACTCCCCTCCCCTCAAAAAAATGTCAAGCTAAGGGAAGAAGGAAGGAGTATTCAGTAGTCAACAGTGCCAATATCATGTGAAAGAAAAATGTCAGAAAAGTACTCCATTGTTGTGGCATTTACGAGTCATTGGAGAACCCCAATCAAGTTCAATGGAATTGTAGGAGTAGGACCCTCCCTCACAACAGTCTCCCTGAGTGGTGAATGAGTAATGAAGAGAAGAAAATGGTAAATGCAGACACTTGCCCTGGTGAGACTTTGACCATGGTAAGAAGGTAAGAGGGAGGGAAGACTGAAGGCGATTGTGACTTTTATTTTGTTGTTCTTGTGATTCCCAGGGGATGGACTGAATGCCATAAGTTTGGAAATGTGGATACAATTTTTTAAATCTGATATTTTGCTTTTAGGACAGAAAAATTAAAATAATTCTAGCAAAAGTAATGAAAAATAATTTGGCAAATTAAACACTGTCGAGAACTTTGCTTGAAGTTTCAAAATGTTAAATGCTTTCAGTTTTAGAATTTCTTATATATAGCCATACTTATTTTGATTTTTATGATCTATAGCCAGTTATATTTTGATTGATTTCTATTCTACTTGTTCTTATAATCTGTAGTGCAAAGGATGGAATATTCCGCCGTTACCGTGGTCCAGGAATCTTCGAAGACCTACAGAATTACATCTTAGAGAAGAAATGGCAGTCAGTTGAACCTCTGACTGGCTGGAAATCTCCAGCTTCTCTGACGTAATTTTTAAATTTTTTAATGATAAAGTATTAAAAACAAAATACTAGGTATCAAGTTACCCTGCTTAAAAGCCTACATTTTTCTTCATATTCACTTCTGTTACTCATATCACATACATATGCCCATAATTGGCTCATGGAGGGTTTCTGATTTTATGATCCACTTGTATTTCAGGTAGTTTTTATTCTGTTGGGAACTGAGTAGCCAGATTTCTGTGGGTTACAGAAAGCCTCCCCTCCAGCTTTTGCCTGTTGACCACTTTCTCTTTATAAAATATCATATTGAATGCCAGTTGTTTTTCTTTCTTTTTCTGTTATATTATTGGTAAGATGGAGGAGCAGTTCTTTTCTGAATTATAGTAATTCAGGAAATAATTTATAAAGGAATAAATTATTTGTTGTGTTTTATGTGAAAATAAAGCGTATGTGGTTTTTAACTGCCTGGCAGAATATTAGTGGCAAAAACTTTTGACTATGATCATAAACTTTATAATACTTGGCAAGAAAGATAAGGCCAGATCATGGTAATTTTTTCCATAGTTGGTTTTAATTTCAAATAGACATATTTATAATTAATTTTATTTTAACATGCAGGCATAATTTCCCTACTAACATAGGAACAAATGGTTTAATATTTCAGGAATAAATCATCTAGTGGCTTCTATATTAATGTTCAGGAAACATATAACTTACCCTAAAAGCAGCTTATCTCTAGCCTTTCTTCTACAAATAATTAAGCCTTAATTTTATGCCAGATGTTTTTTCAGGGTGCTAGGTATTTATCAGTGAATGAGACAGACATGATCCCTCTATTATTTTTAGGTAACTCAAAGTGAGTAAGATTAGAAAAAACTGGGGATATCAATAGTCATAATCTGGATAAACAAAAATAGCATAGTTGGTTCAGTCCCCAGCACTGCAAAACAAAAACCAACCTACCAAACAAACAAAACTGTACTTTACTAAGATAGGTAGAAACTGAGGGGTTCTGGGCCTATTAATTTAGAAGGGAGGGTTTAGGAGGAATTGCTCGGAGGGAAGGACTTGAAGTGTGAGATCTGAGGGAGAAGGACTAGCCCAGGTAAAGAGCAGGGGAAGACTATTCCCAGCAACAAGTATGGCATGAACATAAGCCCCAGTCTGGTAAACACCTTGATGTACACATGGAGCAAAGTGGTGACCAGATTGGATCATGGTGCAAGGGAGAAGAGTAGCATTAACTTTACAAGTAAGAGGCAGGCTGAAGCTAGATCCTGTAGAGCCTGTGACCCTAGAGTCAAACTTGGAAGTTATCAGTCCATGCAATGAGAAATGAATGAATGATCAGAGTCTAGTTAGAAGTATTTTATAGTGTCCATCTTTGAGATGATAGCTTGTAGGAGAGTGACAGTGGTGGAGAAGGAGAAATGAATGGATTTAAAGTATGTTTTGAAGGTAGACTTGGCCAAGGTGAAAAGAGGGAGAATTCACAAGTAAAAACTGGGTTTCGCGTTTGAGTAGCAGATGAATCTTGGTATTACTTACTTATTTAGGCAAGAGAAGATCAATGACTCTGTATTGGACTTATTGAATTTGAGATGTAGACTTTGTAGAGCTTTTAAATTGGTTACATGGAAATGGGTCTCCATGATTTCAGGAACACAAATAGAGGTGTCCATCTAGGACACGCCTACATGGTGTTTAAAGTCTCAGAAGGGGAAAAAAAACACCTAGAACAAAATAGGATTGCTTAGTATTGATCCCTGAACTATTTCCAAATTAAGAATTTGCATAGAGAATAAGTCAGCAAAAGAAAACTGAAAATGAATACAGAGAGGCAGGAAGAAAAATGGAGTGTACCATTTTCCAGATAATAGGTACTCAAGAAGGAAGGAGTAGTTACTTGTGTTCCTGTTACCAAGAGATTAAGGAAGATCAAATGGTGACATGGACATAGAAGTGAGATCATGTAATATTAACTTTACAAGTAAGAGCCAGGTTTGAATGTTAAGATATGATGTGGAAGAAATAGTGAGCACTATTCTTTGGAAAAATTCATCTTTGAAACTGAAGGAACACTTGAGGTCCAGGGTTGCTCTTTTTAAAAGATGGGAGGAAATATATATGCATGCTGAGGAGAGATGTCCTGCAGAGATGTAGTAACACAGGAAGAAGGGATTACGGAAAGAACCAAGTCATTAAATAGGACAAAGTGAAAAGAACTAAGGCACAAGAGTAATTGGACCGTAGTAGGGAAGATAGAATTTCTTGTTGAAATGATAAGGTAGATGCAGGTATACACCAGACTTAGATTTGGTGGTAGAAAGATAAGAGAGATCACATAATGGCTTCTGATTTCAAGGTGTTTGTTAGCAATGAGTATTTTAGGAGTGGGGATACATGTAAGGTTTAAAGAGAGGGAAGAGGAAATGAGCTATTATCCCAGAGTCTTTAAAAAATGCCCTAAGACTAGGTGGAACTGAGTATTCACTTAGGCTGGGGTTCATCTGTACATGTAATCTTTCCCCAGAGACATTCAGATGTTTATGTTTGGGATTTTTGCCAGACATATACAATGAAGGGAGAAAAAGCCAAGAAATTGTAATGTATTTACCTTAGGCAGATTCAAATGATGACCACAGATTGTAAACTGTGTAAGAACAGAAGTCAATCCAAGAAAGAGAACAATGTGTAGTGAAATCACTGAAGGGTAGTCCTTCTGATCTGAGCGTTTTTTTTCTTTTTTCTTTTTCTTCTTAGTATACATGACCAGTTGTTCTCTTCTCTCTTTATTTTTTAAGGATGTCTGGAATGGCTGGTCTTTTTAGCATCTCTGGCAAGATTTGGGTGAGTAATCTTAAGTAAAACCATCACAATTATATTTGCAGAGAGGTTCTTAAGAATAAATGGGTAGCTTTTAGGCAAAAGGAAAATTCTACTTTTCTCCTTAAGTTATACAAATTGTGTTTACAAGGGCATAATTTGATCAGGGATCTGTTGCTACTTTGTCTAAGTCATATCTTTTTTTTTTTGGATTAGAAATTAAAATTCTTATCAAGGCAAAAGGGCTTATATCATTTTATTTCATATATAGTATTTTAATTTTCTCATTGACAAATCTCCCTACAGGTCAGATTATCTAAGTATGAAGGTATTAGTATATTTCAAAGGTCACTAAACGATAGCCTGTGGGTAGGCCACTATTTTTGTAAATAAAACATTATTTGAACACAGCCATTTTCATTCAGTATTCATTATCTATGACTGCTTTTATATGTTAGTGGTAGAGTTGAGTAGATGTTACTGACAGTGAGTTGTGGTTCATGAGCCTAAAATATGTCTTATCTGACCTTTTTATTGTTTGTGGACCTTTGCTGTATGTAATTATAAAATTTCACTTAGTTATTTCAGTGTACTGTTGTTCAGGTTAAAATGTTGAACCATTATATAACCTTGGCTATGTCTCTGACCTTTTGTTTCCCTTTTCTGTAGAGGAGGCTAAATTCAAAGATTGAATGAAAGTGCTCTAGAATTAATTATAGCTCAAAATACTTAAAAAATTCTTCAGACATGAATTCTTGTTTATGTTTTTTTCTAAACAATGATCATAGGTCATGGTATCATATTTGAAACCTAACATTTAAAGAACTCAAGAAGACTCTGTTTCTTATACACATTTATATATAGTGAGGGAAATTTAAAAACAACCTTTCATATACCAGTTTCTTAGTTATATATTCTGCCTTGTTAGATAGATATCTATTTCGTGGGGGATTTTTTTGTTTTGTTTTTTTACAAGAAGCTAATCAGAGACTTGGATTCCGTCTTTTTGGTTAAACTTTAACTGTTTTTTTTTTGGCATTTTTAAAATCACATTCAACAATAATTAGTATTTTTCCTTTTTTCTAAATAGTTTTAAGTTTCATAAGTTTTCTTTCTGTTGATTTATTAACATTGGTGCGAAGTTTAGTCAAGAGCTGAGAACTGTGAATTGCAATCCGAAAATTGAGAATAAGGGATTTTGCCTTTTGCAGTATGTTGACATTAAAGGTTGATTATCATATGGTCTAATAGATATCTGAGCCTTGGAGATTTGTTGGCTATCAGACAGCACTGAAAGCAAGATCTTAGCACAGAACCTATGATGTAAAAATTAATAGGTGAATTTATCCTCGAGGTTGAGAAAAAAATCATGACTTTCATTGATGCTAGAGAAGAGTTTTACTTTCAAAGACTATATCAGGGAAGATATATAGTTAGTACATTCTACTAGCTCTTGACTTCTTATTTACAAGATTTATGATATTTGGCCTGATGAGGCCTAGTCCTTGATGTCCCATCAGGTCTTTCTGGTCCCCATTTCCAAATCTTGGCATAGTCTGGCTTTGTTGGCCTTACTTAGCAATCTTAGCTGACTATCCTGCCTGCTTAGTTATCTGACTTTTTCTTTTGCTCAGGAGTCTCTTGTCAGGGTCAAATATATAATTGTCTGGAATGTCATCTGTTTTTAACTTATGTCTAGATAAAATAAAACTGTAGTATTAACAATGAACAGAAGTAAAACTGTAGTATTAACAATGAACAGAAGAAGCACAGCATGTGATGTGGGAGGGAGAGACAGAGAGATCATGGATGAGGCTAAAACATAAAGTGTGGAAAGTCTCAGAGAAAGAAGATAAAAACATTTAAGCAAGAAAGAAGTAATGTGTCTAAAGCTAGAGAAGCAAGATTGGTGATGTCTGTCTATAGTCTTTTATCCTTCTGAGATTTTATGGATATGTATACAAATAGAAGTCAATTTTTCCTCAGCAGTCAACTTTCCTGCTTGACTAGCTGTTAGAAGTAAATTTTTCTGAAAAGAAAGATGCAACTTATTAATTTGGGGGGAGAGATATCAAAACATTATGTATCACTTATATAGAAAAATGCCTAGACAGATCAAATAGATTCTTGACAATGATATTCTCTAATACTGGAATTCTGGCTGATTTTAAAGACCTGTTTTTTTCTGTACTCTCTAATTTTTCTGTAATGGAAAAAAAAAACAATAGAAAAAATGTCAATATCTAGAACATCAGATCCTACTAAACTAGTGATTCCTTAAAGTCCTTGAATTTCTGTTTTAGGAGTGAAGTCAACTTGCTTGTCTGACATTTTGGAGTTTAAAACTGGACCTTAGGATTCTAGGGTTGCCTGGTATTGTGATACCCACTTAGCTGAATTCTTATGAACTCAAGAGATTTTATTTGGTTTGCATTTGTCCTCCTTCATTTTGCATCAGCCTCCCCTATGTTCTTATTTGAAGTGAACCCTTAAGTAGGGCAGTTGCTTGAATAGCCTTTTTGCAGTTACCTTGAACCCTAGGATTTTTTTTTTTTTTTTGTAACAAGGATTGAATCCCTGGGCAATTAACCACTGAGTCACATCCCCAACTTTTTACATTTTGAGACAGGGATTCACTAGTTTGCTTATAGTTCATTAAGTTGCTAGCTTTGAACCTGTGATCTTCCTGCCTTAGCCTGCTGAGCTGCTAGGACTATAGGCATGCTCCACCATGGCCAGTGGAACCCTAGGAATTTTTGATTGGTAATTTGTACCACAATGTGGCTAAGAGTAAATGATCATCAGTGTTCTCTCCATCAACAAATTCAAAATGTCTTTCTAATCCAATCATGAGGGCATTCACCTGTATACTAGATATCTTTGTATAAACTCATAGAAGTAATCCTGTCCTCATGGATTGTCTTGACATTCCACATGCTTCACTCATAAAATGAGTCAATGAAGTCTAGGAGGTGAACAACTTGAAAAGTTTCTCAGAGAGGAGACATCCTCAAAGTCCAGAATTGACTCTGATTTTCTAAGGCAGTAGCAATATAAAAAACTTTTTAAACTTTTATTAAAACTTAAAATGATTCAACTTAATGCAATGTTAATACTCTGAAAGCAGTATAGGGTGATGTCATGAAGGTGATGTGAAGAAGATTGCATTTTAGGAAGCACTGCGGTTGGCTCTGGTTTCATAGTCAGGACTAGGGTTCTCCAAGCTGAGATTTTTTTGTCTGATGGCACATGTGTGGACAGAGATGTTCTAGTCTTTGTTTTCTTATCTCTCTTTATGATTGGCTACCATGCTTCAGAGGCACTATCCTTCTCCCTTTCAAAACACAAGCCATCTTTTTCCTCCTCCTGTTCATGTTTCTGAAGCTATTTGCTTTCTCTGACATAGACTGTTCTTACCAGAACTCTTTGAATGTTTAGCATAGAATCTGGCACTTATGTTATATTTGATAACTACTTTTTGTAGTTATAATCATCAATCATTGCCGTCTTTATTATTTTATTTTCCCCTTCTGGTGATAGACAACAAGAATATTTTTTTGTTGTTGTTTTTGTTTATTTTAAACAAGACTAATTATAAACTTAAAACACAATTCTGTGGCACTTGTACAACATACATACTTTTGATAACTAGGTTTAGTGTTTAAATATTTAAAATATTGTTTGATCAAATTTGGTGAATTACTAAAACTAATATAGGATATAACTTATGTCTCCTAAAGGTCACTGTTGTTATGAAAGGGCATAGACATGGCAAATTTTAGCTAAACTAAGGCATGCTACATCCTGGAGAGGACAATCTGTTTGATGAATATCACCTTCTCTTTTGATTAGATTATCAAAACAGGAAAATTTAGTGTTTCATAAATATCCAAGGATGAGAATTAAAGGTCTTGCATGTTTATATTGGAGAATAATACTTTTTTAAAACTTGAGGGCTGGGATTGTGGCTCAGTGGTAGTGCTGCTTGACTAGCATGTGGGAGGCACTGGTTTTGATTCTCAGCACCACATATAAATAAATGAATAAAATAAAGGTCCATCAACATCTAAAAAAATTAAAAAGAACTTGAAAACATTCCCTTGTGATTTACATAGCAGTGTCTCTTGTTTTACTGTGTTTTTCCCCCTCTTATAAAAATGTCTAGAATGTTTTGTAGAACATTATAGTGAGACTGTGCCATTCACGAGGTTCCTTTCATGGACTCTACAACAGATTGCAAGTCTGTGTCTCATTGCAAATATTGGGGATAGAACATGGAGGAGGATTGAGTACTCCACTACCACCGAGGAGTCCTTTCTGCCTGCTCACACATAGGGAAAATATTTTGGCAGTTCTGATCTGTGTGTGTGAGGGATCAAGCCTGTCCTTGACCTCAGAGTATATATCCTGTGATACAGGCAAGTTCTAAATCCAAAGACTCTCTGTTTTTCAGGGCCAATTCAGCTTTGAGTGAGACTGTGAAACATTGGTTTGGATGGGTGGATGCTCTGGGTGGCATTTTATTCAGCCTGTAATGGTTTAGACTTCTGGAGGGAGTCCTGGCCTTCATAGGGAAGGAAGGTTCTGCCTCTGACCATGGGGACCTTGGCCTGGTTCCTTAAATCCAGTCTGACCACTGATTGGTCTGTTCTCATTTACTCTGTTGTAGTGATGTTTTTCATTTGGTCTTCTCAACTCAATTATATATTTAGCCAGAAATTAGCCCTAAGTTAGATAATATAATATATAATGGTATAGGTTATCATACCCATCAGGTGACATTTGAGTGCATTTTCAGTAAATACTTCTTTGTAACGAGAACATGTAATATTGAACAAGGACCAGGATTTTACACAAGTGAAAACTGGTATTTAAAGAAACATGGCTAAAGAAACAAACATGAAAATCTAAAATTAAATCAAATAAGTGTTAGTCAGTTATTATTTTGGACACACATACATACACACATGCACATATGTACACATAGGCAAGGGGGACCAAAAAAATCTTTGATGATGGAAGAAAAAATGAGCAAAACAATTTTATCATAGTTCTATCCAGATCTTGAAGCAAAACTCCAGGTACTTAATATTGTGACTTATAACATTCACAGAGGGTCCTTAAAGCCATTATGAACTCAAAGTAAACAGATAAAGATTCATATCTACAGTTTGTGAAAACATAACTTGATTAATGTCTTTAGTAATAATTACCTGAAAAACCACAAGATGGCAGAGTTTCTTTAAGAAGCTCAAATCACTTCAAGAGTGGGTTGGTATAAGAATTGAAGTGAAGCTCATTACAATAAGATAATGTTTTGAGAATGCTAAAAAATGTTGGACTCAGAATGCAATGATTCAAAAGCAAATAACTTACTAAAATCTAAAAGTTAGAAATTTTCTTGAAAGTTGCAATCATTTATTTTGCAGAAAGGGCATAAGACACATTCATCTAAAAATTTCAGTTTTTTTATTCCAATCACATAAATGAGATAAATCAGAAGACACAAAACAAGTTCCAGAATGCATCCCTGAGTCAGCACGGAGGCAGATTGACTTTTAGTATCTTAATTAGTATCTTAATTTTTTGGCACATTTCAGAGCTTAATCATGTTGATTGCACTGAGTCATCAAGAAAAGCATAAATTGTCCAATAAACATTATGTTCTAAAGTAGGAAATGTATAATACCCTTTTGAACTTACACTGAAAGAGTTTTAAACTACCCTTCATAAGCAATCGTCCTGACTAAGCACAGACTGATGACAAGTGCCATCAACAGAAGAAAGACAGAAGCTTTACAAATTGTTTGTTTATATTTCATGTGATTAGTTCAAGCATTTGGTATCTTTTCCTTATTCAACAAGTGTTGATTGAATGCTTTGATTACATGTGTTAGTGCTTAAAATGTTTGCTGAGTCTTCATTTAGATCTATCAGATTATATGAGATCATTTAACCAACTTTTTTGTTTGCTTGTCTTTCATTCAGAATTATGCCAGAGTAAAATATATTATTAAATTGCCCAAAATGAACTAGGAAACCAATGGGAATGATTTAAATTTTGAGAAATATGAAATTAAACAGAAACTTGAATTCATTTTCATCTATTTTATCAGTTCTAGGCAGATCATTTAATCATTTTCTCTGCTTGTTGATTATATCTATATAACTTGGAACCATTTTACCCTGTGTCTAGAAATTGCTTGGATTATAGTTGATGGCAATGTAAGGATCAAAACAGATGACTAAATTAGCATGGGGAAGCATTAGCTCTGCAACTTCGCATCTAAGTGGACCTTGACATTAAATGAGCAGGTTCATGTCTATACCCCGTGTGAGTTAGTAGGTAACTAGTTCCTAGCTAAGATTGTGTCTCTTCAAGTATTTGTGATTAGAGTCCCAGAGAATAGTAAGCATAAGATAATGTATGCTCTACTGAAAGACTAATAAAATCTCATTTGCTTAAAATAAATTAATCAAAAAATTTATTTTGTTCAGTATTGCATTTTATTACTTGTTAATAAAGTTGTTAAGGGGTAGAATAATAAGTCTGATTTGAAAAAGTAAATATGGAGACAATTTTAAATAGTTGGTTCTGTAGTAATTTTGCTTTAAAAATTTCTAAACGACCAAGAATTTCATTTTTTAAAAGATGCCATGTTATGATTAAATACTGAATATATGTAATTATTTATATGAGGGACCAAAAAACAAACAAAATAATCATGATCGAAGAAAGGACTAGCAAAACAGTTTACTAGAGTTCTGTTCCGGTCCAGAGCTCTAGGGAAAGATAACTCTTTTTAGATACAACCTTTATAATTACTCTGAGTATTTCAATGTTGAAAAACTTGACTTACTCATTAAGAGTTATTTGGGTACATATTTGGGGTCATTTTGTGGAAAAATGTATGGATAAACAATTTGCAGGTTGGTGTTAGAAAAGATGATTAAAATATTTTTGGTCCTCATTACAAGTAATTTTTTTTTCTTTTGTTTGCAGCATCTTCACAACTATTTCACAGTGACCCTTGGAATTCCTGCCTGGTGTTCTTATGTCTTTTTTGTCATTGCCACTTTGCTTTTTGGCCTCCTTATGGGTCTGGTAAGGGAGAAAACCAATCTTTTTCTTCTTTAAAGAAATGTGGATTTCCTGTAAAACTCAAAGGGGACTAAGAAAGAAAAAAAACCAAAACATTCTTTTGTGTATAATCAAGTAATTAAATAGCATTTGATTATTTAATGTTACTTTTAAGGGTAATATGAGATATAATGGAAAGTTCATTAAATTATTGCTCCCTAGTCCTATCCCTTAACTGTTCTGAAGATGTGTTTTGCCCATAACATAAACACTGGTGAATGAAGAAACAGAGACCCCGACTTGATAGTTTCCAAGATAATTGAGTTGACTATGGTTTTTACACATTGCCTACTTGATTAGACTATGGTGGTGATAAGGTCAAAGTTGTGAATTTGTTTCTTACTTAGATCAAAGTTGTTGTTTTTTTTTTTTTCTGTTCATATCCTCTAATTGAACCTCTGCTCCTGACCAGCTGCTTATACATACAGCTGCTTAAACATATTTGGTTTTCCTGAGGTGAATTTTGTAAAATAATGTGGATGAAAGAACACTGTCATTAATGTGGGGGGAAAAAAAAAGATTCAGAGTAAATCACCATGTTCTCCTTGGGCATGAAAATCAGTATCCAGTAGGTATCTCAGTATTTTCTCCCTAGGTGTTTTAGGTGAAAATTGAAATAATAAATTTATTTATTTAATTATATAGGCAACTATAAATGTGTGGCATATTTTACTTTTCTCTTTTTTTTTTTTTTAAGCAGGGACTGGGGATTGAACTCAATGGCACTGGATCACTGAGTCACATCCCCAGCCCTGTTTTGTACTTTATTTAGAGTCAGAGTCTCACTGAATTGCTTACTGCCTCGCTTTTGCTAAGGCTGGCTTTGAACTCCCAACCCTTCTTCCTCAATCTCCAGAGCTGCTGGGATTACAAATGTTTACCACCACACCTGGCATATTTTACTCTTTGATACAAATTATTTTTGTCTTTCTCTTAACCTGCCCTTGATCAACTTGATTTCCTGTTGAATTCTTAGAAGTTCTGAAAAGCCTTTTTATTGTATGGTAATTACACAGCTGTTAACTACTCCATGGTGAGAATAATTAAAGATTATAAAAGTTTTATATTAAAGAACAAACTTTTAGGTAAGATTGAGTACATTTCTTTTTAATAAGCTTAAATGCTTAGCAATTGACTTGATACTAAGTCACAACTTGGTCTGACAAAGTAATAACTCCTTTAAGGAGTGGAGGACACTTGGATCTTATTTTTCCAAGAGCATGCTGTAATCACATTATGGCTTATCTTTGAGATTTACTACTGGTGTTAACTTTAGAGGTAGGGATGAAATTTAGCAACCTGAATAAATTAATAATTAAGTCCCTGGTGTGTTATATTCTGTTATATTAATTGTATTGCTAGTTAACATGTCTCCACTGTCCTGTTTTAAAGGGATTTGACTTTGGATTTAAGTAGGATTAACTGTTTGTGCTTCTCCCATGTATTATTTAATGTTAGATTTTTCTAGCAGTGTGAAGCTTTTGTAGGGGAACAGGATGAGGTGTCCTGGGAAATTCAGAGATGGAGACAAAGGGAATGTAGGTTGAGTGTACCTGTTGGAAAACCAGTGAGAATTCTCAGCATAAAGAGTTTTAGACTTTGAGGTTACTTTTAAGTCTAAGAAATTTGAGTCAGGCCTGCCTATGCATGAGGTTCATTTTGAAACTTAGATTGAAATAACATTATAGGAAGGTTATTGGAGGCTTGACTTGAAGAAAGAAGATTCAAGTGATAAAGAGGGAAGATAATGTTATTTAGCAAAATAATCTGTTAATCAGAAATAGTAAATACATCTTTAAGATCACATTTTTGTAAAATTCTAAAGTATGTAGAATTTTTGCCTTCAGAAATCTTTATTTTTTTGTAGTTTTAAATCTTATCTTTAGAAATTAGTTGTACAATTTGAAAGAGCTGAATTCTTTTATCTCTTTTGAAATCATCTATTCCAGAATGGCCTTTTCACTAGCTTCTAGGATTATAGAAGAAGCATTTCTCAATTGTTTTTACCTCTTAGCCACAGAGAGAATGTGGCACGCTAGGGAAAAGGATGCTGCTGCTCAGCAGAATCACTGAGACTGGCTCTAAATGGCCCAGAGAAGCAGCTGCCCCACATCTTGCCCACGTTCCCTGGGGAATGACACATCTGTTGTGAAGCCAGGATGTAAAGATGAGTAGTTCAGATAGAATAAATCTGAGATAAAACTGCTGAGTATAGGATTTCTCAAAATAGAAGAGTAGGAATTGCCTGAGTACTCAAAGGAAACAGCCTTTCAAATACTCTATTTCACCACCCCCTTCCCAGAGAAGCTGCAGCCAGCAGAGGCTTTGTGACTCACTTGCTTTTTACAGTCAGGATTAGAGGCCAGAGCTTCAGATGTGAGTTTCAGCACTCTGTGACACCTCTGCCATTACCTGGGGCTAAAAGTCAAGGCCAGGCTTGCAGACATGTGAACTTGGTTCTGATGACTTTTGAGACATTCCTTCCTTTTATGTGTGTCTTCATAGTGCTAGGAGGGCAAGATGTTTTCCATAAGAAATGTTCTCTATTATTTCTTCATTTAGCTTGACTATTGTATTTACTATTTCCCCCCCACCCCAGTTTTAAAATATGAGAAATGAAAACAAGTCTGCTGATTTGATTTTTGTTTGTTTTCTTGATTGAGCCTGGTAATGGTAGAAGTATTTTATAAAATGTTATTTTTCACATTAAATAAAGAGCTCAGTTTTAGAATCAAGTATATTCTGTATTTTTAACTAACATTGGAGTGATCTTTAGTTCAGAGTCTATAGATCAAATGACTGTGACAGGATCACATTCTGTTGTCAGTAACTGGACTCTGAAGGGTGAAAGGCAGCAAATTTTTAGAGAAGCAGAAAAGTCCTACAGAACACAGGCTATGATCCAAGTAGCTTAGGTCTAAAAGCTTTTCAGTTCAGATAGTTCATTCATGGAAAAAGAAGAGGCTGACTTGCTTTCTCCTCTGCCATATCTATTTCTGTTGCCATATATAGGCACTATCCAAATTCTGGTGCTTAAGTAGATTATTTTTCTAGATGCTGATAACCAATGTCTAGCTTGGGCCCTTCCACAGAGGAAGGTCCCCAGTGTTAGAATCATGAATGTCAATAACTCTGTGAAAAAACTCCATCTTTCAGTGCACCTCTTCATTTTGGAGCATGGCTATCTGCATCTAGGTAGAAGCCAAAACATATTATGGTCATTGTAGAAGATGAAGAGAAAGGTACCATTCTCCTATAGACTGTTTCTGAAAGGTTTTCTAGACCAGAATTAGACCTTGAAGTGAAAGAATCTAATGAAAAGATGAGAGAATTTCCTCCCAGTTTCTGAGAAGGAAGACAACAGACCTTGGTGGTAGACTAGCTCAAACCTGTCCTTTTGAGCACAAGGGAAAGCAGTTAAGGGAATTTCAGGTTATTCAGCTAATGCAAGAAAGACAATGGTGGGACTGGTCCCCTGTGAGTCTTTTCTCCAGTACCAGCCTGCCCTCTAGTATCATAAATGCAAGTTTCTCCCTGTGGCATTGTTGGAAATGCTTGTATTGTCACTGAAAGATGTTTCTTCTTCACTTGCAATATATTAAGACTTTGTCCTTCCTGGTGAAATTAAGAAAGAAAAAAGTCACAAGAGATATTATGTCCTGAAAATAGCTAGTAAACATACGAATATCACATTAAAAATGTAAGATCCTTAATCTCAGTCCTAACACATGGAAATGCTTCCTCTTTGCTGGTAAGGGTGATTTAATGGCTTGGAGCTTATTGTTCCCCAACCCACAAAGCCTTCCTGAAATGCACTGCCTTACTTCATGGGTCTCCTGAACCTGGCACTTGTGACTTTATCAAGATCCAGGAGCCTCAGGAATCTCACTGGCTGCAGCTTAGAGCAGCCACGCAGTGAATGTTGCCCATGCTGTCCACTTTGTGCCCTGGCTCAATGCTTCTTCCATCCTTGATCCTTCTCCACTCCATACCTGGATGTAAGCTCTTTATCTCTTAAGTATCAGAGTGCTTTGTATGAGACTTATTTTCCATAAACTTAGTTTTTTCCTCTTTGCAACACACACCTCAGATATTAACATGCATGGTACCTTGAACCTAATGAACCAAATATCAAGTACAGTAATAAATGAATATATGCCTAGTAGTAATCCTGAACACAAAGTAGAGTACTCATTTGATGCTTATAAAATTGAATCAAAAGGACTATGAATTGACTTATTTAAAATTTTAGAGCACATGTAAAACACTAGTATATGTAGCACTATTCCTGTTTTTAAAGACTGGACAATTATTCAAAAAGAAGTTGTAATCTGAGCATTAAATACAAGAAGAAATGTATAGCCTTCTAAATGGGCAGCTTTCTTTATCCTTGGATCTGTTCGTGTTGTGCTTTAAGGGCAGGGAAAATTGTACACGAAGAAAGTGGATCTCAATTTGTTCTGGCACCAGGTGCCTTATTGGATGTAGCCATTACTATCATCAGTATGGCCATGGCAGATGGATCCTATCCTTAAGGAGCTTAGAGTTCATCAAGGAAAAAGACATGGTTATTACAATAGAAAATGACTTATGCTTCAGTCAAGGTCAGAGATGAAACTAATCCATCACTGCCTCAAATAGGATTTAGTTCACATTTTTTAGTAGTTTTCTCACAGTTTGTCTGTAGAAATTGCAATGGTATTCATAAGAATTCCAGACCCTGAAATGTTCTTCCACTCATTTGAGGGTTACTCATTAGTGTGAGGCAGCTCAAATAAATACATAATAGTTTTGTTTGTTCAAAATAGTGTTTTTAGGGAGACCATTTTAGACTTGGCTTGTAGAGCCTGTTTTCTTTTCTTTTCTTTTTTTTTTTTAAAGAGAGAGTGAGAGAGGGGAGAGAGAGAGAGAGAGAGAGAATTTTTAATATTTATTTTTTAGTTCTCTGCGGACACAACATCTTTGTTGGTATGTGGTGCTGAGGATCGAACCCGGGCCACACGCATGCCAGGCGAGCGTGCTACCGCTTGAGCCACATCCCCAGCCCGAGCCTGTTTTCTTATACCTGTTTCACTCATCTATTTATAGTAGACTCTCTGTAGGCTTTTGACTTTGTGGCCCTTGTTCTAAATTATTGGTATTTTCCTGTGTTATGTCACATTTGAAAGGAGGAAATTCTTAATTATATCTTTATCTTTTTGAAGACTTTTGATCGGCTATTAATTATTAGTCTAAGAATGTCTGTTTATATAGAAGCAAGGCCTAATTTTGATACCCTTTGGTAATAACTGTTATGTGAACTTACTATAAAATCACTTTTCTTCCTCCAGATCTTGGTGATAATATCAGAATGTTTCTATGTGCCACTTCCAAGGAATTTATCTGAACATTCTGGTAAGTCTGAAAAGCTCATATGTTAGAGTATGTTTAGAATTTTGTGGTGTTCTATGGTTTGGAATTCTTTTTGTGCTTCTTATACATAGGGGGTTTCCCCTGATTTTTTAGATGAACAAAATATCACCTTGACTATTTTCTTAAAATATGTTCTCTGAGTATATTTGAAAATAAAAAATCCTTTTTCTCCTCTGTTAAGTTGGAGTATATTTTATATTGGTAATTGCTCTTTAGTTTTATGCCCTTTATTAATCAGTGGACAGCTTTTCCTCATTTGAATTGAATAATAGGAGGGAGAGAAGTGCACATTTATTGAGTCTCTACTGTGTGTTACTGTCCTTTAAGGCAGTATTCCTGAATCCTAACAATATTTCACACTGCTTCTGGAATTAAGTGGCCCTGGATTTAAATGTCTTTTTCATGGCTATTTTTTGAGACTTTGCATAAAGACTTTGTAGTTGTTGAATTTTATTTGAAGTTTAGATAAATTTGTATTTTTATACTTGAAATTTGGGGGGCTTTGAGACTTCCATAGATAATTGAATAATATATGTGATCCTTAGAATTCTTAAATGTAACAGAAACCCAGTATAAAGCATCTTCAGGGGGGAACATGAAAATTTATTAGCTTACTTGTCTGAAAAGTCCAAGGGTATTCTGGCATCATTCCCAGCCTGAGTGATGTTGGGTTTCTGTTTCCATGGTGCTCATTTAGTGGCTATCAGCAGTCCCAACTCACATCTTGCCAGTTTAACCAGTTACTAAGAAACAGGATGGCCTTTCTTCCTGACTCTCCTGGGGAGTATTCTGATTGGTTCAGCTCAAGTCACATTTCCGAATCAATTGCTATGACCAGTCAGCCACTGACCCTTTTAAAAGCTACAAAATACAGAACATGAAGGAACCTTTGCTCTCTGCCCACATGTTCTGCCAAAGTCAACATAGTAACTGAAGGCCCTCAGGGAAGGAGAAGCCTAGGTAGGGGCTAGGATACTAAGCAAAGAATTGTTCTGTATAATACCAAGAGCTTCAAGGTGGATAAAACTATGAATTCACCTGTTTTTTCATTTCATAGATAAACACACTCAATTGAATACTGAATTACCATCATTTATTTGGAGGATGTTTTTCCTGTCTTCTCTCTACAGAGCAGAATCAGAAGTCTGAGGAAGCTCACAGGGCTGAACAGTTGCAGGATGCAGAGGAGGAAAAAGATGATTCAAATGAAGAAGAAAACAAGGACAGCCTTGTTGATGATGAAGAAGAGAAAGAAGACCTTGGCGATGAGGATGAAGCAGAGGAGGAAGAGGAAGAGGACAATCTGCCAGGTGGTATGGATGAAGAGAAAAGTGAAGTCAGTGACCAAGGGCCCCTGAGAGAGGGCAGTGTGACCCAGGAAGAAGTTGAACCTGATGAGGCTGAAGAAGACGTCACAGAGCAGCCCCATTCACCTGATACAGAAGTGGCAGAAGATGCATTGAGGCAGCGCAAGAGTCAGAATGCCAGTAAGGGACCATAGATAGGTTTGGTGATGCAGTTTTCAACAGTGCAGCCCAAAAGAATATGTCAGCTTTCCTCTGGTCTGCAATTTAAACCAAATCCTTAATTTTTCCTGACTGAGAAAGCTTCTCCCTTAAAAGATGATCTCTAGTGGCATTGTATCATAGGCACAGGCCTCATGTACCCTAAGGACAATCTTTCAGTCATGACAATCGAGAGATAAAAACAACATGCTGTTATGATCTGTTTGGGGGATCTGGATGGGAACAAGTTCATTTAATTGGGGCTTGAGAGTCTTAACCAGAGGAGGCAACCCCCAATCATTAGCACCCTCTGGAGAAAAAGCTACAGATCCATAAAATGAAGGCAAAGCAGCCTTTACTTCTGAGCATCCTCAAAGAATAGCATAAGTCTTGCTTCCTTTTCATGTGTTAACTATTTATTTTGTGAAACTGTAAGAAACATCATGTACCACAGTGCACAAATATTTGTTTAGAGATAGAAATCCAGAGGGCCCTGAATACAGTTTTAGAAAAGAGCTTGGAAATATGCCAGCTCTCTAAATCTCCCTTTTTTTGTTTTATTTCTTATTTCTCCAACTTTTCTACTATGAGCCTGCAGACTACCCACACTCTTCACAGTTGTTTCTCACTTAGATGCAGCAGCCAGGTCTGCTTCCACCATGTTTATTCTCATTTGAAGGTTTAGAAAATCTAACACAACTGATGAAGCCCTGATTGCCAGCTATCTCAAATGAAATGTTATAACCTTTGGAGTTTCAAAAGGAAGTAGGGATTTTATAGGACAGATTTTAAAACAATTTTTTGGCCAACCTGTAGTAGTTTTCTTTTTTCAGAAAGTTTCTTTAGCAATATTTTTTTGAAGCCAGAAGTGATCTAAGTCTTGCCCAGTACAGGGTAGCCTTGTGAAGAAAACTTGAATACTGTGTTGTTTTATTTCCATCTCAGGGGGTTCCCTGGCTCTTGAAACACTTTAATAATAACTGGAAACTGTTTCTAGTTTCATTCACTTGATGTGCTTTTGGTGAAAAAATTAATGAAAGTCAGTATCAGGAAGTAAAAGATTTGATTTTGTTTCCATCTTCCTTAACTTCTAGAGAATTGTATCTTTGTAAATCTCTCACTCCTTAATCTACTATAAGTACCCAGGGAACCCAATTTCTTTTCAAAATCCATCCATCTACTTTTTTCTTTCCTGATTTATGTCTTAGAATAAATTCATAAAATTAGATTCCAAGCATATGAAAGATGCTTAAAGTCAAGCTTATACCCCTTGGGTCCAGACAGAATAATGAGTACAGGTTTATGAAATTCAGAAAGTTTCTGTCATCTTTAAAAAGGAAATGCAGTCTATTTCTATCTGATTATTTATATAACCCTTTCCTTGTATTAATTGTGAACAACAGGGCTCACTGGTTGGGGAGGCTCTGAAACTCTCTGCCCTCCTGTAGTTGATTGAAGCTCCTTTCAACTTTGCACAAAGGAGGTTTTTACTAGGAGAACTGATTTTCAAAGATAGTTATTTTTCATCTTTCCAACTCAGCTAATAGTCTCTTCCCTAATATGCTGAAGTTTGTTAAAGTTGCTAGTAATTATGCTCTTCAGACCATCACAGAATTGATGGACTGGGAGGAAGAATTTTGACCTGACCTGTGCCTGTTTCTTCCCCTCACTCCAGTTCCTGCCCCTCTGACACATCTTCACCCCAAGTGCCGTGGTTCTGATGGGGGCAGTTCTACTCCCTGACACCAGGACGCTTTTCTGGATATTCTCAAGCTAAGCTGTGCCTGTCCTCCTGTCACTGGATTTCTTTCTCTTACAATCAGCTGTGTAAACAAAGATTTCAAAAAATAGTGAGTTCAAGTTTAGAGTTAAGAAATAAGAAAGGTTTCATAGATTGGCTTTTCTATATAATGTCCCTCCCGCAAATAGAATTTTTTAAAGTGAAGTTTTCAACTAGAGGAAAGCATGAGAAAGAAAACACGTTCTACTTTGTTTTTTTGTTTTTGTTGTTGTTGTTGTTTTTGTTATTTTTTTTTCTTAAGTGTAAGCCCAATTTACACTTGGACCTCAAATAATACCTAACTACATCATAATTAAAATGTATTTTCTTTTTTAAAAATATAGAGTGGGAAGAAAAACATCTTGGGAAGAGGATCCAGTAAAAATTTAAGTATCTATCTATAAGAACCATTTTTTCCTGATTTTTCCTTTTTTTTTTTTAACATCCTAACAAAAGATAGCTTTTCTAGGAGGTGGCCTGATCCATACACATCTAATTTATTATCTTTTCACTTGAACCTCTAGGTTTGTTTTCAATACTTAATATAAACCTAAAGAAAAACATCAACCTAAACTTAAAGTCAGATCAGCATTTCAATTGTTTTTTTTTTCTATAGATAATATATTTAATCCAGTGGTTAAATGCATGGAAAATGTGATTTTGATTTTAAAATTTTTTTAAAAAGTCATGCTTCCCTCTATTGCAGTATCAGTTTGTTTAATCATACAATTGTGTTTTATGTGAATTCAGAATAGGTGAATGAAGTAAAGTAATGATTGTGGAGTGTGGGTACATAGCACTTTATGTACAGGTAGTTGGAGCAGGGTGCCTTGGCACTGATTAGAAGGAATGTGAAACTTCTAGTTACCCTATTGTTGATTTCTTTTATTCATCTCCTGCTAGATCTGCTAAAAGAAGCCTTCTTGGTTAGGGATCTCACTGAAGCAATGCACAAGCAATTCCACTTTCTTTCCCTTTGAAGTATAATTGAATAGGTCAGGGATAGTGCCTGTTCAATTCACAGGGCATTGCACTGTTTGGCAAGTACTTGCAACATCATCTTGTGAATATGATCTCTGTAAGCTAAAAATAACTACCTATAAAAAGTAAACAGGCTTTGAATAGGTTGGCTTTTGCAGCTATGAAAGCTGCATTTTGATTTTTTATGATCCCAAACTCTGTTGATAGTTTGGAGGTTGCTACATGATTTGAGTGTATGTAAGTTTGCAGATCTGCATCCTGTACCTCCTTTGGGTTGGATGATAAAAATGCTATTTAAGGGAATACTTGCCATCCAACTTTGTTAGCAAGGCTTTTGGGACTTTAGCTGCTCTGTTGCTTACAGGATGGGAAACATTAAAGGGTCCAAATTAAAATAAAAAGGTAGAAAAGAAGAGTAAATTTCAGTGTAAAATCTTGAGCATGAAGTGAGAAAAAGAAGAGAGATTGGTGCTTTTGCTAGTGTTTGTCAGTAGGTCCTTCATCTCAGTGTTGTAGTGTTATTTCTGTCAGTATTATACATGTGTGGTGAACCCATCCTGTCAAATATATCAGCATTTTGGAGGTTATTCATGTAAATCTTTTGTGCCAATAAAAAAGTTCCCTCTTGTAGTATCTCTTTACCTCAGTCTTACATTTTGATTCTCTTGAGAAGATTATAGCTTATCTTGCAAAAGCCAAATGTTATCAAGTCTGATGAAACCTGATGGGGCTGTTGTGAACAGCTTTCTGAAAGTGGAGGTTTATTTGAAATCTTCAGCCCAGGATATGGCCTTAGATGGCTTATTCTCAGTAAAATTTATGTAGACTGTGATGCTTTATATATGTGATATATTTTCAGTATAGTTAGATCATATTTGTTAGTAGATACTTTCTTTGTGGAATGCAGTTGTTATACTAAAGACACTGCTTATTTGTACTGTCATGCATTATAAATTTGTTATGTATATTTTCTGTAATGGTATTGATTATTTTGCCGTTTCATTTAGTGTTCTGTTTATCCATGTATTCTATGTTTCCTTAAAAAGCATCTTTAGCAAGTGAAATGAGAAATCAAGATATTGTTTCAAGCAGTACATTGCCTATATTATAGATCATCTGATACAGAATTGTACATAATCCTTAATCCTGTGTGGTTTCACTTTATTGTAAATTTTCATTTATGTCAAAACCCAATAGTGATGACTACATAAATGCAAAATAGTGTATTGCTTTTCATATAAATATTTTCACAAAACCATTTGCCTAGGCAGTTAAAAATATTACTTTGTTAAAAAATTTTTTTTCTTCTGTGTTTGCTCTTTATCTGTCTCTTCATTCCCCACCTCTCCCACCCCGACTCTGTAAAGACCAAATTATGTGCCATTTTGCTGCTCAAGGACGAGTTCTATGATTCAAGAGCTCATCATCATCATAGCCAATTGTATTGCCTTTACAAAATCATTCCACTCACCTCCCAGGTACACTTTGTCCTGAGGTCTGGGGGTGGCAGAATTGGAACCGATGGCAAATGATGCTGTGATTCCTCCAAGACACTGTGGACCGACCTGGTATCCTAAATAAGACATTTGGAAAACTCCATTCTACACCTGGCTTTCTTGCCACTATTGCAGTAAAATAGCACAAAGGAGGTGAGGCAATTCTTTAAACACATTCAGGCCTTAATGTGACGGGAGATTTGGTTTTTCTCTTGGAAGATGATAGTGGGATATGTAGTAAGAAAGTTATTAAATTGGTATACCTCTAAATCCCTCCCTCAGAGTAACTAACTCTGAATCTTATTTCCTCCTACAGAGAAATATGTATGTTAGCTTTGTCTCAGCCTATATAAACTTGGTTATTCTTGGTAGATATTCTTTGCCTACCCAGCGAGATAAATTCTGGCCCTTTCTTTTTGAAGAGAAAGTTATGAATTCACTTTCTCTCTAAACTTTGCATGAGCTTTTCCTCCCATTTCAATATCTGATACTCTTATCAGAAATTTATAGATTTCTCAAATATTCTGTTTAGTAGACATTTGACTAATCATGTTAACTTAAATATTATCCTTTGGAAAGACTTCACCATCAGAATTCATTGTGTACTACTGTCACTTATGGAGAACTTTTCTAAAATTATTTGTTGTTGTTGCTTAGATAGAGACTATAGGATAGACCCAGAGAATATATGTGTTCTAGGACAATCTTAATTACTGAGCTGTCATTCTATGGAACTGCTCTTCAAACAAGCTCTTTGTAAGTTCTAAGCATGAATCTCAGTCTAATAAATAGCATTAAAACCTAGCAGTTTGTAAGTTGACCACACACTCGTAATTACTTTGGCCACTAACATTATTGTACAATGCATTCTTTAATACTTTTGATATCCTTGACAATAGAAGGGAAGGCTCTCTCCACTGGTGGAAAATAGCATACTATTGCAATAGTGGTGAGAGAGCCAGGTATAGAATGGAGTTTTCCAAATGTCTTGTTTATTTAGGTCAGTCCATTTATAACACCATGGGCCAAGCCATTGGATTATAATTTTGGCATCAAGACATTTGACCCTCTTTTCAAAGCATTTGTTCTGTAGACTCTGGAAAAGTAGGAATTACCTTCTAACAGAGGTAATTATCTTTTTAAATAGCATAAAGGAAGGTACTTTTTTTAACGTAGATATTGACATGTTTTAAAACTGTAGTTTTGTTCTTATAAGCCCCTGTCTTGTGATTCAAACATGGTCTTATTAGTAGGTCCAAGTAAATGACTTCAAGAAACTAGTTCATGGCTCTTCTTGGGCTAGCAGAAAGGTCTCATTCATAAAATGCATGAAGTGGTGATTTATGGCCCAACCCAAAAAGATATTTTTCTGCATTGTATGTCAAAAAGAGTTTTTGATCAAAGGAATTTTTAAATTGGTGTCCTCTAAGGAGCTAATAATGTGAATCTTCAAGGAGGAGTTTAATCTCTAGCATTTCCAAAACACACTTTTCAAGAAATATGGTAGAAAACATTTGAAAGCTCACTACAAAAGCTAGAGATCTTGGCTAAACTATAACTGGTATCTTTTTAAAGGCAAAGTTGATCTCAAAAAGAACATGAGGCTGAAAATTTACCATGAAACAAATAAACATGAGTTAGTATCAGGACTCTCCCAGTGCTGGTGATAATGGTAATGGTGGTGGTGGAAAGCTGTTGCCCTAGGAAATAGCAGAATATACGTTTTATTGGCCACATGGTTAGAGGATAAAAGGTGTTGGCTGCCTCAAGATGGGATATTGGAATTTAAATAATATCCCATTTATATACTTGGCAAAACAAGTCTGTTCACTAGCACAAGAAAACCTTTCTTAGCCTGGTGTATGTGTTGATACACAATAGGCTTCTCTAAGAAATTATAATCATGAGTGTGACCTTATAAAACTTGGAGTTTGAGATTAGTTCCATAGTCTCAAAGAAATTATAAGGCTAATGGAGCAGCAGGTAAGGTCATATAGGTGAAAGCAACAAAACTACCCTTGAAAACATCCCCATCCTGGCTTAAAGATTCACATTGGTAAAACCCCATTTAAGATGAATTCACAATCCAAAATTAATGTATTAGCTTTTCTTATCTGTGACCAAAATAGCTGACAAGAGAAACTTAGAAGAGGAAAGAATTTAAATTTTTTTTTGACATTTTGGTCAATTGTAAGTTGCCTACAACATTTGAGACCTGAGGTGAGGAAGGAGAGAGAGAGAGAGAGAAGGCCAGGACAAGGTACAGTCCCCCTAAGGAAATACCTCCAGGAACCAATATCTTTCAACCATGTTCTATCTGCCTACAGTTTTTATCACTACCCAGTGGTCATAGATCATCAGTGGATTAATCTACTGATGAAGTCAGCCCTCACATTTCAATCAGTTCTCAAAAGCCCTACCTCTAAACATACCTGCATTGGGGACCCAAGGCTTCAATACATGATTCTTTGAGGACACTTCATATCCAAACCATAACAATTACAAATCACACAAGGAAGCAATTCATCAGACAGCCAATTAGACTTGTCTAAATTCTTGAGACAAAATTATTATAGAAACATCATAGTTTTGTTTTTTGTTTTTTTTTTTGGGGGGGGAACATTAGAAACCTGAAAGTATGAAATATAAAAAGGTACTTTTTTCAAAATAATGTATTTGAGTTTCATTCATCCTGTATATATTGGTTCAATACTTTTTATTTTATTATTATATGAACATATTACCCATAAGTTCTATTATTGTCAGGTATACACAATGTTTCTATGTAACTGATCTTTTGAATATTTTGACTGAGACATTCCCTGGATGATGATGATGATGATGATGATGATGATGATGATGATGATGATTATCACCTTTGGGAGAAATACCATAATGTTAGAAATATATTCCTCAGGACTTTCCATGATTTGTTTTGGAAATGCTAGAAAGCAACATATATTTCCCTAGCAGGTGGGTAGCTGATGATTGAGAATAGACACTGGAACAGATCTTCCTGGGGTCGAATCTAGGTCCACAGCTTGCCATGGATCTGAATTTAAGCATGTTACCTAAAATTTCTGTGTCTCATATTTACAATGGTATTAATAGGAAACTTCTACATCATTAATCAGGGGGTAGAGGATTTTAACTAGCTCTTTCAATGAGAACAACATGAAAAATTGCTTTTGAAACAATATAAATATGCATGTATATATTTTGTATTATATTATATGGCATTAGAGTCTACATCAAAGAGCTAGGGGTTATCCTGGCATTCGGGGCTATTTTTCTCCTGAGGGCATTTGCTCTTTCTAAGAGGAGAAATAGGGGAGTGTTGATAAGCTTAGGGATGCTTTTGAGAGTATCCCCTGGCTGAGGAGACAGATTGGTTAAGAGTGGAAGGGTTTATGAGACCCTTTCATTTGGGTTGGGTCTCTGAAACAAGTAATGTTAAGAATAAGGATGAACCAGAAATAAACGGATCCATCAAAGATCAACACTCAACCTTTATCTATCCAACTCCTGAAATCAGAATAATTTTACTACTAACTCTCTACTTTCTCTAAAGGAAGATCCTCTTTCCACAGATCCTTTCTGACATAGATATAAATATACTGTCTCTGTTTCTAAGGTTCATCTTGCTGTACAACAAAACCGTGGATCTCCAGGAAAATACTAAATATCAAAGACGATGGCCAGAATTCTCCTTTATTGAGAGAGGAAAAGGGTAGGAGGCTTTCCATATCCATGTGTCCAAAGGACTTGTCCCTGTATACCTACTACATTTTCCATCTGTCAGCCCTTATCTGACATATTTAGTTTATGCTGGCCAGATCAGAATTCTTTCCAGGCTTTTGTCATAGAACTTTTAGACTTAGTTCCCTCTGCCAAAATTCATCTTTGTCCTCTCCACAAACATTGTAGGTAGAAAATGGAAAATTTCCTGAAGGCCTACTTATCAGATTCAGGATTTAATCACACTCATACCCTCTCCCCATTCAGAGAATCTTCAGTTTCCTCCAGTCCCTGTTCCTTGTGTAAGGAAAGCTTATATTGCTTTTAAGCACCCTCATGGTGGAGACTACTCTGGAAATTCCTTCTCTACAACAGAAGCAAGTGTTGGACATCTTCAGCCCTCCAGATTTGTCTGGGCAGGTTGGGGTGATCCTCCTGTGGACTCACTCATATTGGATTCTTTTAGATTCCTCACCATAGGAAACCTATTGTACTGCAGTCAAATTGGTACCAATTCTTCAAGAAGAACTGTGTGTGTAGGGGATCCTGAGGGAATTTGGGCCCTGTTTATGCTTACCTAAGATCTGAACAAGATTGATTATGCTTGCCATCAATTCTCTAAATCTGCTCAAGGAATGTAGTATGGACCCCATGAGATGGTTCTTGAGGTTGTTGCTATCCATTCTATTGCCTCCTCAGGTTGGTCAGCTACTTTAGTGCTAAAAATTTATATGGTTCTTGCTCTTGGATTAAGAATGTAGTGAATTGTGGCTCACTCACCTATCTACTTCAGCCAAGGGATTGTCCAGGGCTCATGAGTCACATCTTGCAGACATTCCACCTCAGGAATTCTCCCAGCAACATATGAGCACATCCTGTCCACCAAACATGACATTAATTTCAGCCTCTTTAGTTTTACCTGCATAAGTCATCCTTGGAGTAGGATGGTAGGTGCTGCACCTCTTTAATTTTGTGCCTGTGCCTTTTTATCACTTTAGTGGACTACTCTAATCACAACTCAAAGCTTTTTTATTTGGACCTTCATTGGCATATTTTTCCAGAAATTTCTCAAGTTTCTGGGAGCTATTAGCCTGTTCTGACTGCTGCAAAGTTGGCTTGAAGTTGACTTCCATGGCAGAGCCAGATCCCCCTGGAATGAAACCATTCACCACCAATGGAGCAAGGCAACAGCTTTTGACGGTTCCAAGTGGTATTGACGTAGGCTGTTTTTCTTTGTAAGGGTATAATATAATGTCTTTAAAAAATCAGATGGCTATTGAAGCTGTCTCAAATATAATATCCAGTTTATAATTTCACAGGGGAAGATTTGCTTCTGAAGAGAATCTCATGTTTACTACATCAAATTTGCTCCTTCAGTCTGATTTTCTAATTGGAAACATGCATCTCCCTACCCGCAACCCACCACCAAATCAGTTTTCATATTATCAAAGCCTCAACCACATTGCTCTTTCTGGAGTTATTTAAAAAAAAAAAACATTCTTCAGTTCCCACTTCTTTATTCCATTGTTCATGCATTTGGCTTTTATGCCAAATATGCACTATTGATTTGGGTAATAATTTAATCCAAGGTGTGATAAGTGTCACATCACAAATCTGAAGACCTATAGATTCACTGCCAGAATATAAACTGACTAAATTTAGTGACCCTACATGGTCCAGTAATTCCAGCTAACAAAACTCAGAATCACAAATAATTATTTTTATCTCTGGAAAGAATTTTAGTAGGGTCTACTTTGTTGTCTAGATTAACATATATTAAAAGCTCCACACATTTCTTTTGTTTTCTTGCTCTCTCCTACACAGGTCTAAGTGCAGAAGCACCCTGGAAGGTGGTATGAACATTACTTTTGAGTCAGAACCTTCAGGGTCCATCTTGACTCACTCACTACTTGTGTAATACTGAGCAAGACATTTCACCTTCCTGGAGCGAATCCAGCATGTCTACACAGCCTAAAGTCTAAATTAACTTGACTTTATTATTTCATACTGTGTTTGTCATGATAATTTTTCCAGAAAACACTTGCCCAGGAAAATAAAAGTGACAAATAACTGTATGTTCTA